ACAAGTTTTTGTTTAAAAGGGGGGGAGAGGGAAGCAGGGAAGCACAACTGACCAGCCCTCAGCCATGTCTGACCGTATGTGCAGTATTTCAAACCCATTGTTCCTTACCTCTACAAAGAGGGAGGTGAGTGCATTTTTCCCAATTCCTTTTTGGGGCCAAGCTTAGTCATTAAAATGACACAGTATTCAGTTTCTTTTTTGTTCCTGTGTTAAGGGTTATAAAGTCTGTGGTTTAACGTACTGAAGCCTACTAAGGCAATTAACCTCTCTGTTCCTCTCAGGCAACTTTTTAAAGCTGTACTTAAGTTAAAGATGAATTGATAATCTGAATCTGTGAAAGAAGTTTTCTAAATCTGGAATTCCCCATGCTGATAACATCACAGATGCATACCTAAGGAAAAAAAGGAGCGGGTTTAAAAACTTCTTGTGCTGTTGTCTTTAATAATGTAGAAGCTTTTAAAACAAGTAGAAATGTATTTTAAGTATTGGTGATGAAAACAAGTTAATACTCTCTTTACCAAATTTTCTCAGTTTAGTTTGATGTATATAGGATATCTGATTTGAGTCATCTTGTAATATGGGAGACGAAGCAAGGGAAAATGATATTTTACTTCATGATATTTGAAGTATTTCAGTTGTAGACATTTTAAAGGTATAATTTCAAACAGAATTGCCTATAAGTTGTAACCTTATCAGGTAATGGTAATCTACATAGTTTTCTGTGGAAACATTCTTTTTCAAAGGGCTGGGGTGAAGCCATTCTTAGAAATATATTGTATAATTATTTTATAGTTGAAGTCAGTTGTATAGTGTATATGCTTTAATAGAGTCTAAAACTGGTTTAGATATGTGATTGCTGTAAAAAATATCCACATATTTTTATATTAAAAGAATATTCTTCCTGGATTTTAGTGTGCTTTAGAAAGTAGTCATAGAAACCTGGCACATTTAAATAAAAACAGACCTTCCAAGGAGGCTAGTTTTGGCCTTTAAAATATAGAATTTGACAGATAATAAACAACAGAGATTGAAACCATTCAGTGTTTACTTGGAAATTTTATAGTCAAAGTGTAGGGGTTGGGATTTCAGTTAAGATTTTTGTTTTCTAGTATGCAGTTAAACTACATTATTTGGTTTAGTAATGGACTTCTTCATGTTACAAACTCTGTTGAAAAGTAAAAATTTAGTAAAACTACTTTTTTTGTGTTTCTGCTTGTTTATGACTAGATGAAATAAAATGATGCATGTGTATCAAGTGATCTGTGCACTTTAAAGTGCTATATAAATGTCAATTTGCTGTTATTTTATTATATACCGAATAATTGTTGTGACTGATTTCTTTTCCCCCAGTGCAAGTCGCTCATTTTATAGACAAAATAATGAGACAGTGATTATAAAAATATAATATTAAATATTATATTATTATATTAATATTAAATATAAAAATAAAAATGTAATATAAAATATTTGTTTGTAATATTTCTGTAATTAGTGATTTTATAATCTTTTAATTAATTAATTAATTTCAGTTAAAACTAAAGTATGGGGAAAAGATTCAAATATAAAAACCATAAATGCATGATACATTGTATTATAGAGTTCCCTACGTATTTGAAACCTCAATAGTGTGGTCATAGGCCCTTTTTGGATGTCAGTAAAGGCTACCATTTGTTAGAGAAATGTTTTTACAGAGCTTGGTAAAACTACATTTTTTAATAAGGCCTTGAGAAAATTTAGAAACCTCTAGATATTTAATTACTTTCAATGTATCTTCTTAAAGAATTGGGAATTTGGGGCAGCCAGGTGGTACAGTGGATAGAGCACCGGCCCTGGACTCAGGAGGACCTGAGTTCATATCCAGCCTCAGACACCCCAAAAAAACACACACACACCACTCACTAGCTGTGTGACCCAGGGCAAGTCATTTAACCCCATTGCCTAGGCCCCCTGCCAAAAAAAAGAATTGAGAGTTCAATGTAGCTGTATAGAATTACAACTAAGAATTTTATCTAGAAAGCTGACTCCATTATGACTATATTGAAGTACCACTGAAACTCTCCTGGCCCATTTGGAATAGTGGGTTGTGTGACATCATATTCCTATAACTACTTAAATATTCTTCTGTTTTGCGAGCCTTTTCGAGTTTGTACTTAGTAGGTAGAGAGCTATGGTGGTGTATGTATGAATGAATTTCACCTCAGTGCTGTGGAGATAGTGGGAGTTAGGAAGGAATTGGCGGTAGGAGGGAGGAATCTCCTCTTGTGGAAACTTAAAACAGTGTTCTTAAATAAATATTGTTACTATGACTCAGTGGTATGCTGCAGATGAGTTTGGATGATTTTGGTTATGTCTTTAAAAAATATTTTGTTGATGCTTTTAAAAAGTATCACTGTATTTTCCCAGTGAATCCCCCTGTCCCTGCCATGCCCAGTAGAACCTATCCTTACAATAAAGAAAGAGAATTAAGCAAAATAAATCTCCACTTTGCCACATCATACTACTTCCCTAATTATGAACTGATACAACTCTGCCGAAAGGCTTTTTGTTGTTGTTTGTTCTAGACTCATGCTGAAATTTTTAGTCAGTTCTCTCAAAACACATCAGATCATTACATTGGATCAGAGTTTGGGGATCTTTCAGGATCGTTTTCCTTTGTGATCATCATGTAAATTATTTTTCTGGTTCTGCTTACTTTGCTCTGCATACAAGGCTTCTCATGTTTTTTAGAATTCTTCATTTTCTTCATGGCTATAATAACCTATGACAGTTATCTCTACCACAATTTGTTTAGCTATTCTCTTGCTGATGGCAATCTACTTTTCTTCCAATTCTTTATTACAAAAATGTTGGTGGAAATTTAATACTTTATCATCAAGATTACTTTTACTTCTTTTTATTCTCTTCCTCTTTGACTCCTTTATTCTTGTCTCCCAGTTCTTTGGAACAGGTATTTCAGTAGTAGGGCCTATGACAAGTATAGGTTCCCATCACCTCTTCCTTATATTATGGCAATAGCTTTTTAATTGGGTTGTCTTTCTCAGGTCTTTCCCTGCTTCAATTCATCCTCCATTCAGCTACCAAAGTAATTTTCCTTGTCACTCTTTGCCTCCTCCTCTGTTTTTCTTCTAATAAGCTCCTGTCATTCCTATTACCTTTAGGATCAAATATAAAATCTTCTCCCTGTCTTGAAGGGCTTTAAAGCCCCTCACAATTTGTCCTTTCCAGTCTTCTTACATTTTACTCTCCACCTTACAATCCATCTAGTGTCACTTCACTCCTTACTCTTCTTTACATATCATACTTCACCTCCCATCTCTGTGTATTTGCACTGACTGTCCCCAGTATCCATAATGTTCTCCCTCATACCTTCCCCCTTTTGGCTTCCTTGGTTTCCTTCCAGACTGAGCTTAAATCCCACCTTCTTTAGGAAGCCTTTCCTTCAGGAGGCCTTTCCTTCAGGAAGCCTTTCCTTCAGGAAGCCTTCAGTGTGAGATACCTTCTATCTGTTGTGTTCATGTCTGTTCTCTAGCTACACAATTATTTTCGTATTATCTTCCTCATGTGAGCTTCTTGAGAGCAGAGACTTCTTTGTATCCTCAGTACTGAGCACAGTGCCTGGCATATAGTAAGCACTTATTAAATGTTTGTTGACTTGAGTTGAGCGATGCTCTTTTCTGTTCCTTAGCTGCTGTCTCTACTTCCAGTTCCTTCTGTCAAGAAAATTCAATTATAATAAGCTCCATAAGAAAAAAAAATTTTAATAGAGGTATAATATAAAAGATGAAAAGACTATATATAGCCCATTAAATAGGAAATTAACAAAGAAGTGTTTTGAGAAGAGAATACAGAAAATAGAGAAAAAGGGAGGGCCTCTTCACCCCTACGTGCTAGGTGATGCAGTTGATAGAGTACCAGGCCTGGAGTCAGGAAAACTCATCTTCCAGAGTTCAGATTTGGCTTCAGACACTTATTAGCTGTGTGACCCTGGGCAAGTCACTTAACCCTGTTTGCCTCAGTTTCTTCATCTGTAAAATGATCTGGAGAAGGAAATAACAAACCACTCCATTACCTCTGCCAAGAAAATTCCAAATGGGGTCGTGAAGAGTTGGACATGACTGAAACAACTGAGTAGCAACAATTCTACCGCTCCCAGTTTCTCCTTCAAGTTCCTGGGTCTTTGGTTATGCTATTTTGTTTTAGTGGGTTGTCTGGGAATTTAGGCAGTTCTAACCTCTAATTAGAATATTTGAGTGTGGAAAGCAGCATTTTATGGTAGATAGGGACAGGCTTTGGAATCAGGAATATCTGGGTTCAAGTCTTGCCTCCTGATACATACTAACAGTGTGAAAATGTTCAAGAAATCTCTGTTTATAACTGAGCTTTTTACTTCATCACAGGAGGGGTTTTCGTATTAGGAATTAACCCTCAATTAATAAAATCATAGGTATATAAACCTCTGTTTATAACTGAGTTACTGACCTTCATTACAGAAGGATTTTAGATCTGGGTTCATGTCCTGCCTCCTGATACATGCTAACATTGTGAAAATGTTCAAGAAACCTCTCTTTATAACTGAGTTACTGACCTTCATCACAGGAGGGTTCTCCATACTAGGACTTAACCCCAAATTGATGAAATCACAGGTCTAAAATGTGTGGAACAGTGGAAAGTTTGCTGAATTTGGAGTCCTAGAATTAAATGTGAATGTCATCTGTGCCACTCACTTGTTTAGTTGTTTTGCAAGTCATGTCCAATTTTTCGTGACCCCTTTTGAGGTTTTCTTGGCAGAGATACTGGTGTGGTTTGGCCATAGTTGTCAGCTTAAAGCCTGTCCTGACGTTTAAAATTATTGGTCTTAAGACTCTATATCTGTGTTACGTTCAGTGAGAATACTTGTAAAAATTTATACCTGACTTGATTAAAATTTTTTTTGATAGTGCTTTATTGTCTTTAAAAAAAAAAAGGAAAACTTTAATTTTTTCCCTCTTTTTTTCATTTAGCATATTGCAGGAGAAACCAGGACATTATTTTCTAGAAGTAATGCCCACAGAAAGCGGAAGTTGTGCAACTGCTCGCCAGGCAAAGCAGAAGCGCAAATCACATAGTCTTTCTATAAGAAGAACTAACAGTTCAGAACAAGAAAGGACAGGACTTCCAAGAGAAATGTTGGAAGGACAAGTAAGTTCCCATTGACCACTGTCTTCTTGTCTCAATTATGATCATATTAATATAGTTTTATAAAGACAGAATGCAAGAAAAAGCTAGATGTCCTAAGTCATATCTAGATATGATTCATGTGTTCTGGGATAGCTAAGAATTCTCTTAATCATTCATATGTATATGTATGTGTGTATACATATATGTGTGTCTGTGCATGTAGATATAGATCTATATATACCTATAAATATCTATATATACATATAAATATATATACATACATGTGATACTTGATTGGATTTTTAAAATGTAAGGCTTTTAAAAAAACTTGGAATTTTATTAGTATATGGAATTTTTTGTGAGGAACTCCTTTAACAATACAGATCAGTAACTTCTCTGCAGTGTATAGTTTTGAAGAGTTGCAAAGTTAAATGGCTTGTCCACAGTTATATTTTGGTAAGTTTCAGAGGCAGGACTTTGTCTCAGGTCATGGGTTTGAGGCTAGCTTTCTTTTCAGCACAATATGATACCTTTGATAGCAATTATTCAACTTAATTTTTATTCTCTACAGGAGCTGTGGCAAAATTCTTTATTTAATTCACTTTATATATTCAGTTCAACAGGTGTTAATTTAGTACCGGCTTACAGGTTAAAAGGGGAGATAGGACATGTACTGAAATATCTATAATAAAACAGTTAGACATATAGAAACAATAAAGAATTCTATGAGTGATCTGAAGGGGGATTTTTCATTTCTAGCTTTTGAGAGGAAAGTTAGGGAAGTTTTCTTGAAAGAGGTGACATTTGAGCTGAGTTTTGAAAGATAGGATTTCAACAGGTCGAGATGCAAAGGGCCCTGAGGGGGAAGATCCTTTTAGGCAGGTGTAGGGAATGACTTTAGCCAAGCAACAAAAACAAGAAAGAGGAGAATATATTAATGAGTAGGCCACTTTGGTTGGAGCATATAGTATATGAAAAGTAGTGTAAGATAAGGCTACAAAGGCATTTTAAACTTAGAATATGAAATATCTTGAATTTTATTTGGTAGTTCACAAGAAGCCATTGATGGTTTCTGAGCATTTGAGGTATATGATAATTTAAATTTAAGGGAATTTAAACTACTGGTGATAGGAAGAATGAGTTAGAGGCCGCATTGAATTAACATAAGATCAAAAGGTGTAGTGTCCTTGTCCACAATATTTTGCATTACAAATTGCCTACTAAATAATGATGGATCATTAGTGATAGTATTTTTACTGAGTTCCACCTTTTATAATCTATTTGAAATTGAGTTGGAGACAAGATTGGGGTCAGGGAGCCTGACTAGAAAACTCTTAGTATGGTCCAGGGAGGTACTGAGGACCTAGACTAACAACTAACAACTCTAACAACTCTAGATTTCAGCTTCTTCATCTATAAGATGTAGCACTGGACTAGAGTTTTGAGATACATTCAGGGTATGATATCTAGTGGATAGTGGGAAAATGTGGGTCTGAAGCTCAGGAGAGCAGTGGCATGTACAGATTTGGGAGTTACCCATGTTAAGATAATATTGGAAGTTATGGAATTAGATGCAACTGCTAAGACGAAGAATCTGGAGAGGAGTGGACACTAACAAATACTACCTTCTGAAAGGTGAAATTATCAGATATTCTGCCATTAGCAGAGAGAGCCTCTTCACATATCCAGAGAGTTGAAATTCTCCATTTCTCTTTGCTCTCTGCTTCTGGAACTCATTATCTAATTCCTCCTTTTGGCTAGGTGGTCTGTAATACACTTCATGACAATATTCTATATCTTACAATATTGATATCTACCCAAAAGTTCTCTCTAACATGATTTTTCCTTTTGGGTTTTCATATACCCAAAAGGTTTTATATTTTTCATATAAAATACGTTCTTCTACATATAAAATACTTGCCCCCTAGGCAGTGAGGTGGTATAGTTGATAGAGTGCTAGGCCTAGAATCAGGAAGACCTGAGTTCAGATTTGGCTTCTGACCTTTACTGGCAGTGTGTGTGACCTGGACAAGTGACTTAACCTCTGTCTGCCTCTGTTTCCTCAATTGTAAAGTGAGAATAATAACAGCACCTATGTCCCAGGGTGGTTTTAAGGATGAAATGAAATAGTAACTATAAAGTGCTTAGCACAGTGTTTGTCACATAGTAGGCATTATATAAATGCTTATTCTCTTTTCATTCCCTCCTTTTTATATAATTTGTTCCTCTTGAATAAAGTATTCCAGTCATGAATCACATCTACCACTTCTGTGTGTTATAAGTATGAAGTCATGATGTGCATTTTGTCTATTGAAATCTGAGCCTGTGAGGATTATTAATCCCCTTCTTCCAGGAGGTTTTTTTCCCCCCCTGTGAATTCCTAGGCAATCAAGGCAATACCTTACAGATACTGGAGAATGGTTTTTATGGGCCAAAGACTACAGGCTATATGATTGCACAGGTGAAGGGTACTGAGGGCCTGAAGTAAGGTAGTGACACTGGGAATAGAAAAGATAGAGTGAATTGAAGACATTTTAAAGATTGAATAAATAGGGCTTAGATGATTGGAAATTGGAGGTTGAGGAGAAGTCACAGATGATTAAGGTTTTGAGTTTGGGTAATGAGGAAAGTGGTGGATCTATTAACAGAAGTAAGATAGGAGCAGGTGTCTAGTTGAAAGTGGGATGGGTTTTGGGGAGAGAGACTTCAGAATTACTGAATTTTAGAAGAACTGGATTACATTAGCTATCTAGGCTAACGCATACCTAAAAAAGAATTCCATCTACAACATCTGCCAGATGGGCCTTCAGTCTTTGCTTGAAGATCCTCATAAACAAGAAGGATCTCATTCCTTTTGAGGCAGCCCATTCTGTTTTGGTATAGCGTTAATTGTTTGGAAGTTTTTACCTTACATCAGGCCTAAGTTTCCCCCTGCAACTTTTACTCATTCACTCATTTCATCCATTCCTCATAGTTTTTCCCTCCAGGTAAAACTGGATTAAGATGGTTTCCCTGCCTTTAGTTCTCTTATCAGTTGAACGCTAGTGCCATTTGCACCTATTTCATTAGTCTTTGTTGTGTTTTTAATTCTGTGGTTTTTAAGAATATTACTCCAAGGAAATGTGCAAAAGTTGTAGCTTTAGAGAGCACACTTCATTGAATTGTAGAGATAACAACAGAGAGTGTTGCTATGAAGTCAGGGGTTTCAGATGTCATTCAGTCCCATCAAAGCACAAAGGAAAGTACAATTCACAAAAAGAAAACTCCCAGAACTGACAGACTATTGCTGCATAATAGCCTAATTAATCCTCAGAGTATAAGCAGAGACCTTCATTGGCATCTGGTGGGATTATTATTGATTCTTCTGTGGTACTTACATAGGTTTCTTAGAGTTAGAGGAATAACCACAAACTCAGTTAAAAGCAGCTGCTAACCATTTCCATGAAGAAAAAAAAACACTTATTATAGGCAGTACAATATGTACAAAGATTGAACTACTGAATATTTGAAAAAGGTGACAGTTACCAAACTTAATTTCTTATTCAGGACAATACCAAAATTATTGTCAAAAAGATTCCAAGTGAGCCTATATGATCTATAAAACATCTGCCTCCAAAAGTATTTTAGGAATTTTTTTTAACTTTCTGTGGGCTTGGAAGTCTTGTCCAAGGGACAAGGGAATCATGAACTTGGGTAGATGCATTGATATACTGAGAAGCAGGATTATTCCACAATAACAGAGATTCTGAAATGGAGATGGAATACTGCAACATAACCTTGTGTAATTCCATGCATCACAGAAGGTTAAGAAATCTATTCCAGAGTTAAAGCTAAACATGCTTCAGTGGCCTGGGAACTTAGCTGATTTAAACTCCAGTGAGAACTGTGTGCTGTGACGAAAGCTAGATTTAGACAAATGAACTGTGTCAAAGGTGTGCTTAATGT